AATAAAAAAAATAAGCAAAATTAGGCAGTGCCATCTAGAAACACATAAATATACAGCAAAACCAGATTGTGCGAAAGGTTACCATGCACAGTTGGGTGCTCCTGGGTGTAGGAGTGCTACTTATTAATGCACTGTTCGCAATGCTTGTCATATTTTACAATTACACAGTGACCAAAATGGAACCAAGAAACCGTGTGACTGCTGGTCATGAATCCTTTATAGTGATTTCTGATCATCAGTCCTTCATAACTAACCAGGCAGCCTGCCACCATGCCCATAAATGGGAAGAGCATCTTCCCACACTTAACTGTTGCTTACAGGAGAGCTGAACGTAGTCACGTGGCTCTCATCACTGCCCAGGCAGCCTGGGCTGGTCTTCATCTCCTAATCTAGCAAGGAATAGAAAGGACGCCTCCTGGTCCACAAGTCCTTGTTGAGCTGTCTATAGCCTCAGCACAGGGCCAGGGAAGTTGCCTTTAATCCCAAGGGCTATTTATGGGCCATCAGATCCCAGCCAGACCTTCAGCTCTCCTAGAAGTCTGGCTTTCAGTCTCCTCATTTACATGATCCAACCGAAATCTGACACAAAGGGCTGCCGGGCAGAAGGGGAAAGGCAGAAAAAAAGGTGCAACCTCATGCCTAGGGCACGGGACTGTGCCTTGATCTAGCACAAGCCCAAAGGCCAGCCTCCCCATGTGGAGAGGAGGAGGCAGGGAATTGGTTAGTGGTAGTGATGATAAGCTGTGGGGGGGGGCGGTGTCAAGTCTCCTAGGGCTGTGTAGACTTTGCCTTCTGATGGGTCAGGCTTCAAAAATGGCAGTTTTTCTGCTTAATGTTCATGTGGCCTTATAAAATTTCAAACATCTAGCCAGGCACCAAGGTCTCCGCCTGTAATCCTAAACTACAGGAGGGGATGGAGGTTTGAGGCCAGCCTGGGCTGAAGAGTTCATGAAACCCCTTCTGAACCCATAGCTGGACACAATGGCACGTGTCTGTCATTGCAGGAATGACAGAAGTTTAAAAATAGGTAGATCATGTCCATATGCATGCCTGAGCATGTTGATTTCAAAAATAGCCAGCCAAATACAAGGCTGGAGTACCAGCCCAAGGCTCTGAGTTCAAACCCAGATTCTACCCAAAGGCCAAAAATAAAAGAATAATAGGAGAAAAATATCAGCATTTAGGGTTTCTTATCTGCAGTAAGTCCAAGATAATTGTGCCAGGAATGATGGTTCACACCTGTAATTCCAACTAAGCAGAGAGGGGGATCCTAAGTTTAAGGCCAGTCCAAGCAAAGTAAAGCAAAAGCCAAAGAGCTTAGGATATAGACCAACTGGTGGATTACTTGCCTAGAAACTTAGGCCATGTATTCAATCCTCAGTACTCCTATATACACAAAGCAAATTCAGGGTAATTGCTCCTAGTTTTCACCAAAAAAAAAAAAGAAAGAAAGAAAGAAGAAGAGAGGGAATTGTCATAATGCTTCGGAAACACAGAAAGTTCCTGTTTGGATGGGGGTGGGGAGAAATACCAAGCTCTTTTTTCTTCCTATTCTTACAACATAACTCAGAACATGTCAGTAAATGAGCGGGGAGGGGTGCTTTCTCAAGTAGACACAACACAGTGTCCTACCACTAAATTCTGACACTGTCAGGAGATAGCCTAGACCCCACAGGAGAGAGCTTGGGTCCCCCTAAGTGTGTTCCCATCCAGATGCTAAGCATAAGCCGTAGGCTGCCCACAACTAACCCCAGCTTAGAGGCAAACTAGAGGTTCTCATGACTCCTTTTCCTTTCTCAAGTAATTTGTTAGAGTGGTTCACAGACTCAAGGAAACATATTTATCATTATTCTGTTAGTAAAGGATGGGGTCAGATGAAGAGCTATGCCTGGGAAGGAGTGGGGAGAGGAGACAGGGAGCTAAGAGTTCAGAAACCCAAGTTAACATCTAAATGTTAAAACAAAAGAATTCTTCCAAACCCTTTACCTACAAGGGCTTTTGAAGTTCTATCTCAGGAAGTAGAGACAGTTGTCCATGCTGGAGTTTAGATATGTCCAAAAGGCTCAGGTCCCAAAGGTCTGGTCCCCATTAGGTGGCACTACCAGGAGGGGATTGGATCTCAAGGGTGTTAACCTCATCAGTGGATTAACCCATGGATGAGGCAATCAATTAGGAGACTAGATCACTGCGGGTATGGCCTGGAAGGGTCTGTCCTTGGCTCCTGACCCCAGTTCTTTCTCAGCTGCCATAATATGAGCGAAGTATTTCCTTCTACCATGATGCTATGCTCCTCAGGCCTTCACCAAAGAATGCAACCAGCCCATGGGGGATGGGAAATGCGAGACCTTCAAGCTTCCGCCTTGAGGTTAGTTTTTATTTTAAAAAGACATTTTGTCATCACAATGAAAAGTGGCTACCACAAATACTTATATTTCACGTGTTCAACAAAACTTACTACTTAATAAAAATGAATGGATTCCCTGTGGTGAAGAATAAAGGACTTTTGCTTCCTGGCCCGCTTCTTAGCCCTGGCACAGCTGCCTGACTTGACACAATTCTTCCTCCTTTCTTCCATTGCACTGGGAGAGTGAAACAGCTTCAACTCTCAGAATTGTCATTCCATAAGACTGAACCACATAGGCAGAGAGAATTCCTCTCCCTCACCATGCTGAATGGTGAAGAGAAAGGACATTCAAAGCTTAAAGAAGGTGAGTGGTCAACCTGTGAGCCACGGTGATTCAGACAAAACTGCAATTTAGATCTTTCCAAAAACCAACTTTAGATATTCCCACTTCCTTCTGCTGCAAAACTACTCTTCGAGGAAATAAAACATGCTTAACTAAAAACTGGGTGAAAAACACACACACACACATACACACACACACACACACACACACACACACACACACACACACACACACACACACCACAAACCAAGTCAAGAAACAAACATCTTAGATCCAACACCCCACCAACCAACTTGTCATCAATGGTCCACTTTCATGAAACCTTCATGCTTTAGATTTCAACTCTTTGAGCCAAATTCTCCACTATCTGGTTTGGGCATCACATGTCAAATGGAAACCCTTTCCAATGGTTTCAATTTCAAATAATATTCTTCATTGAGTGGTAACAGAGACACCTTCTTTTTCCTTCCTTTCTTTCTTTTTTAAACAAATTTCACCTGTATGATATATAGCCAAGACCCCAGGATACGGAGCAGGGTTTTTATTTTTTACAGAGGAAGGTTTTTATTTTTTACAGATTTCCACAGTGCTTGCCCATCCTTTTCCTAATGATCCCCAACTAGTGTTTTAAAAGCAGGTACTAGAAGCAATGAAAAGGAAAAACAGTCCTTATATCACCCTGCACCAGAATCAACCCCAAATGGATCAAAGACCTCGAAGTCAAAGCAGACACCTTGAAAACATTACAGAAAGGAATAGGTGAAACTCTAGGGCTCCTTGGCACAGGCTGAAATTTTCTTAATAGAGACCCAGAAACACAACAAAGAAAGGCTGGACAAATGGGATTGCATGAAACTGCAGAGCTTCTGCATGGCAAAGGACATAGGTAGCAAGGTCAATAGAAAGCCCACAGATTGTGAGAAGATCTTTACTAGCCAAACAAGAGACAAATATATATCTCAATATATCTATCTATCTATCTTTATATATATCGCAAATATATATCTCAAATATACTTGGAACTCAAAAAATTAAATCAAATCCCTCAACAACAAATCCTCAAAGAAACAATTGCCCACTTAATAAGTGGGCTAAAGACTTACAGAGAAACTTCTTTGAACAGGAAATAAGAATGGCTAAAGACATATGAAGAAATGCTCAACTTCTCTGGCCATAAAAGAAATTCAAATCAAAACAACATTAAGATTCCACCTCACCCCAGTTAGAATGGCTATTATCAAGAAATCTAGTAACAGATGCTGGAAGGGATGTGGCCAAAAGGGAACCCTACTGCATTGTTGGTGGGAGTGTAAACTTGTTCAACCACTTTGGAAAGTAGTATGGAGGTTCCTCAAAAGACTTCACATAGAGCTCCCCTATGACCCAGCAATCCCACTTTTTTACCCAAATGATCACAAACAAGGCCATACTAAGGCTACCAGCACAACTATGTTTATCTCAGCATTATTTACCATAGCTAAGATAGGGAACCAACCCAGATGCCCCTCAGTAGATGAATGGATCAAGAAAATGTTGTATTTGTGTGTGTGTATGTATGTGTGTGAGTGTGTATATATACATACATATATATACACACACAATGGAATTCTATGCCTCCATCAAAAAGATTGACATCGCCCCATTTGTTAGGAAATGGAAAGACTTGGAAAAAATTATATTAAGTAAAGTAAGCCAGGCCCAAAGAAACATAGGTCCCATGGTTCCCTTATTTGCAATAACTAGCATATGTCTAGGACAAGCAGAAAAGCTCAAAAACTATGTACATATGACCATATATGATGATGCTAAGCGAAATGAACCCCAAGATATGGACACAAGTGGTTTTATCTTTCTTGCTGTTGATTTTAGTATATTTATAATGTACTACATGACTTTTTTGTTTCTTTTGTATGTTCTTCCCCCATGGTATAACCCGTTTTCCACTGTATTTGATTCCTGTGCCTTGCATCTTTTATATACATTTTTTCTAATTTGGGGAGCGGAAGAGAAATAACAAAATGCTTAAATAAGGATACAGGTTGACCCATTGTAACAATGAGATGTACGAGACACTATGTTGAAAACAAACTTTACAACTTGGGCAGAGGTAGATTTGGGAAGGTGGAGGAAAACAAAGGAGGTGGTAACAAATCTGGATAGGAAATGTACTCATATTACTCATGTAACTGTAACCCCTCTGTACAGTATCTTTACAATAAAAAATATATTCAAAAAAAGAAAAGGAAAAACCAGTGGCCCTCACGCACTGAACCTCCCTGCACCCCCTTCTTGAGAGCATGCAGTGGTACCTACCATGATGGTATGCTCAGGAAACTTGGCCCGGACCAGTTTCACAAATTCCACAAAATGTTCTGAATACCCATTGGCCACATCCAGGCAAATAAACTTCACCTGGGGGATGGCACCCAGGATGCTGCTCATCTTTTCCAGATCATTCTGCCCACTTCCTGAGCTCACAGCTACATGCTGTATCAAAATGAATGAGGAGAGGCATGAAGACATATTGTCAGTACATATGCTGACAAAATGACAACCCTTTGTGATTTACCCTGAGCAAACACAAGAGACCTGCTCAAAGCCAGGTGACCATAGAGGGAGAGGAGACTTAGTCCCTAAACCATCTAAACTCTGATCTGTTCTCTTTTCTACCCCTGAACCACAAAGATCCTTAAACCTGGACCCCCAACCACAAAATCTTTCAAAAAACCTTGCCCCCAACCTCTATTTCATCTTCTCAAGCTTTTGGTGTGGAACTCTGAGTCATGTAGCTAGTTGTACATAAACATCTTTGCAGAGAAACTTTGAGGACAACTGAGAAAAAGAGAAGTTTCCAGACAATATAAAGGGATGCTGGTCACTCTGAAACTGGGACCTCACCCCCAACACTACCTTATTTAGGGAGCAGCAGCTACAGATCAGATCAAAGATTTTTTTTTTTGAGGAGGGGAGATGTTCTGGCTCTGGGGCTTGAACTCAGGGCCCAAGCAATGTCTCTTAGCTTTTTCTGATTCAATGCTAGCACTCCAGCACTTGAGCCACAGCTCCACTTCTGGCTTTTTAGTGGTTAACTGGAGATAAGAATCTTGAAGATATTGTTACCCAGGCTGGTTTTAAACCACAATCCTCAGATCTCAGCCTCTTGAGTAGTGAGGATGACAGGCATGAGCCATAGCATCTGTACCCAAGAAAATTTTCTAATCACAAATGATGTGAACAGGTGCAACTCTGACTTCAGAGACCTCCGGCCAGCCTATACTACAAGGAAATTCATGGGAGTTATAACAAGGCTGTGTATTATCATATTTTCTTTTTGTCTGAGACTGGGATACAACTCAGTACCTGATGCTTTCACTCACTGGCTAGTGCTCTACCAACTGAGCCGTGCCTCCAAACCTGTGTTATCATTTTAAAACTGCTTCATTATTTGGACCCACCTTGAGATATAATGACATACAATTTACCTACAGTGCACTATCAATGGTTTTGAACATACTCAGAGCTTATAATCTTCATATCACAATTAATATTTTACAACATTTCCATAGTTTTCAAGAAGAAACTCTCACACTTTCTTTTGCCATCTCTTTCCTTCTCTTCACAGGGAACCACTAACTTATTTTACATCTCCACAGATTCTGGCTAATCTGGACAACTTAAATCGGTGAAATCATAGATTTGGCCTTCTGTATCTGGCTTCTTCCCTTAGCAAAATGTTCTCAAGATTCATCCATGTTGCAGTATGAGTCAGTACTTTATTCCTTTACATACTGAATAATATTCCATTATACAAATCCTGTTTGTCAGCTGTTGGACATTTTGTTGTTTCTACCTTTGGGTTATGATGAATCATACAGCTATGAATAATCATGAATTTTGGGCAAATACTTGTCTGCAGTTCTACTGCATCTGTATCTACAAATACATTACTGGGTCTTGTGATCATTCTGAAGTTTACCATTTTGTGGAATGGCAGCCTGGTTTCCATAGAAGCTGTACCATTTCACCTTCCCGCCTTCCATGCATGAACCTTCCAATTTCTCCACCTCCTAAAAACACTTATCTGTCTTTTTTGCCCTGGCAATCCTAGCAGCTGGATTATTAACTCAAAAACAACTTGCTAGCATTAGATCTTTTTCCTTTCTTCCTTTCCTTTCCCTTCTTTCCTTCTTTCCTTCCTTCTCTCTTTTCTTCCACCTTGCCTTCCTTCTTTCCTTCTTTCCTTTCTTAAGACTGGGTTTTATCCTAAGCCAAGGCTGGCCTGACACAATCAATTCTCCTGCCTCAAGCTACCCAGTAGTAGAATTACAGATGAGTGTTGCCATAGCTAGTATCAGATGGTTTTTTTTCTACAGCAAGAAGACACATTCATGCTGGATCCACCCTAAAACACTTGGCAGGAAACACAAGTCTTCTCCCAAGCTCTGGTAATATAACACTTCACCTTCCTCAGGAGGTTACGAAATGGAGTCCCTTTCTTCAACACTGTCCTGGCAATGGCAGAGATCCCCTGCCTGTTCTGTGTCTGTACTTCAGATGCTCTTGGAGAGCTGGGTGTCTCTTCCCCCTGGACCCCCGTCATTTCAATCTGGGCTGTGGTCTTACCTGCAGGCACTCAGGGTGATTGGTGGCAAACTGCTTCCAGTCATCCAGGGTGTAATGTTTATGGACTGCCGTAAACAAAGAATGCTAGGAAACAGAACAGTGAGGTTAGGCAGAAGCCAAGGGAGGCCTCTGCCCTCCTCCAGCTGCAGATAGGGAGAAAACAAGACAAAAGCACCTGTCCCGCCTCCTCAATTCACACTTCATTGGCTATGGGTAGGAGGCCAAAACACAAAGAGGCGTTAACTAGTAAAATCACAAAACTGTTTCCCATTCTAATCTGATTGGACAGTACAGCCTTCAGGACCCTTAAGGCTCATCCAAAAGACAAAGGAGGGCTAAAGAGGTTCTCAGAGCTCGGTCCACACCTAACTTAAGCAAAGAGCTGCATAGATGGCCCAAAAGAAAACTGGTCAGGACCTCGGCCCAGAAGGGCCATCTTAAGACAAATTTCTGCTTCAGAACCCTGAAGGATCGTGCCTATATCTTAAACCTTTTTCTTGTCTTTATAACCTAAAGACTTCTTGCTAAAAGCTACAACTACCAGGCAATTGGGGTTCTTCAAGGTGGGAATAACATAAACTATACTCATAAACCTCTGACTACTAACCTAGCCTCTACCTCCACTGTGTGCTAATGTGTGGCAAATATTATTTCATTTAATTCTCAAGAGCAACTGTGACTGGTGTTAATAGCTTCCTGGATAGGAATGGAGCTTAAGAAATTTAGCAATTACTGGTCTGAATCAGACTCAACTGACAATAGAGTTCATCTCCTTCAGATGGAGCAAGGCCTCTGTCCTGACTCCTGAGTGCCTGTTTCCTTGCACAATGTCTTATTCAAATTTCACAACTTTATTAATTTGTATGGATCCTAGAAATAGACAGTGATAGCACTCACACATGGCTGTTAGCTATGTCAGCTATCAGCACAGACTGTCTCATTCCTGGAAAACCTTTCTCATGAAAATGGAGGGTAGATGGATGAACATAGCAAGCTCTAGGTTTTTCTTCCATACGCTAACAATCTGATATCAACAAGTTATTGATCACTCTCTCTGTTAGCTTTCTGTCCTATCACAAAGTGCCCAAGATAATTCACTTCTAACAAGGAAAAATGTATTCTGGTTGGATGTTCTAGTCCATGATCAATCCAGCCCCATTCTGGGGTGAGGCGACACACCTTGGGGGACGTGTGTAGCAGAACAAAACCATTCCCTCATGAGCCAGGGGGTCAAAGAAAGCAAAGAGATGCTGGAAGGGAATGCCTTCAATGACCCAAAGAGCTCCTGTTAGGCCCTATACCTCAAGGCTCTACCACCCTCCAAAAGAACTAACCTGGTGCTTCACATATGAACCTCTAGAGGAAACCTAGCCAACCAGCATATACTACTATATAATTCACCAGCAGATGGCTGAGAATGTGGCTTAGTGGTAGAGTGCTTGCCTAGCATGTATGAAGCCCTGAGTTCAATTCCTCAGTACCACATAAACAGAAAAAGCCGGTGATGGCACTGTGGCTCAAGTGGTAGAATGCTAGCCTTGAGCAAAAGAAGCTTACGGACAGTGCCCAGGCCATGAGTTCAAGCCCCAGGACTAGCAAAAACCAAAAAACAAAAAAATAGAACAAAAAATTCACCAGTAGTGATCCAAAATTCACCAGGGCTTTAAGCCAAAAGACAATGCCACTGATTGAATAGTCAGGTGAAGTACTCCCTACTCTAATTTTTTGAGCTCCCAATTTGACAATCTTTTCCTACCAATCACTGATCAGTGCTAAGTCTCGGCACTTCCTGTGCTTAGACTTGCTGCCCACAGTAAGAAGCTCTTTCAACTAACTGATTTACCTTACACTGAATTACAACAGTTACAAAAATACATATAGCCTCTAGATCCACCAGCAGCCACTAGCTCGTCCTATCTAGAATGTGTAAGACACTCTGTGCTAGGGTAGTCAAAAGGGTTTGCCTATGAGGGGCTTATCTTCATTTTTCCAAAGGCCAAGACTAGCTTTATAAGCCAACTAGAAGTTGGCTAAAAGAACAGTAACTTGAGAGGTAAATCCCTTATCTGGGAGCAAGAAACCCTCTCTGCCTCAGTTCCTTTATCTATAAAAGGAACCTATCTAATGGTGTAAAAAACACCACTTAGGACAAGGGCTATAGCACAGGCTGCAAGTACAAAGCTACTTTTTTGGTGGTACTAGAATTTGAACTCAAGGACTTGTGCTTGTTAAGCAGGTGCTCTACTGCTGAGCCACACCTCCAGCTTTCTTGCCTTAGTTTAAAAGGCAAAGTCGCTGTTCTATAACCAGGCACTCCTCATATTGTATTTCTTCTTTACACTCTCTTTTCCCAACACAGCACTAGCATTTTGAAGGCACTTTCCTAGATCACCTCAGGGTGTTCCCAGAACCTACCCATCCTGACTGAAGAGACTAAGACAAAAATCTGTCCCCTAGCAGTAACAATCGGACTCAGGGCAAATGCAAGTTTCTGAACAAGGCTGTGGTGGATGCTTGGCAAAAACCCATCCATACTGCAAACAGTATGGGGAGGTGGGGAGGAGAGAGAAGAGAGACCGTGTCTCACCTGCGACATGACAACTGCCATCTCAAATGTCCCCACGGTGTCCATGTTGGCCACGATGATAGGAATTCCTGAGTAGGTCTGTTTTGAGTTGCGAAAGGTAAATGTACGCTCAAGATCCACCTGTTGGCAAAAAAATAAAATAAAAGCAAATGAGTTTCTGCTCTCTGCAATGACGTGTGCAGAATCCCAGTGCTCAGAGCAGCAGGAAGAACGCATCACTTGCCTCTCCAATCTCACTGTCTTCCACTGCCTGCCTGATTCCTGCTGACTCTAAACACATATGGAATGCTTCCCCTACTTTCCAAGGCCAGGAAGGCCCATTCCCTTTCCAGAAAAATCCACACCACTCTTCCTAACCAATAGTGACCCTGAAGCTGTCAGAATCCCTGCCGTCTCTCCCCTTTCACCTGGACCCACACACCAGATTTACCCTGCAGTCAGTCCCAAACCTGTAATCCTTCAGCCTTCCAACCTCCACAGCTGTTTTGTAATTCTGAGCATCTTTCAAAGAGCTGGGGAACTGCCTTCTGACCATATGTTTCTTTGACTGGCAAACAGCTGGGGGGAGGGCCTCCAATTCTACTGGAACTCTGACTCTGGGGTACTTAGGACTATCAGCTGTCAAGAATCCAGAATGCTAGCTTAGCCAGTGGATTTAGCAGAAACAGTGTGCCAGGGCTAGACACTCAAACAGTCAGCAGATGCAGAGTTACTTCTATAACCCAGACAGCAAGTCCTGGGTTGATCAGACAGGCTGCCCCCTATTGGCTCCACTTCTGGCTGTGTTTGGTCCAATGCAGGACAGATGCATGAGAGACTGCAGAGAAGATGAGAGAAAAGTCAGGCCCAGACCCCTCTCTCCCAGTCCCTTTGGTCCCAGGTAGAGTCTCCAAAGCAGCTGTGTCTCCTTCAGATCTGGGTGGTCCTAGTGAGACCAGTCCCTCTGGGAAGCATTCTTGTTCTTGCTAATCTCTGAGTCACCTGAATACCTCACTGAGTACCTTGGTGTGTTTAGTACTCCATGAAAAAGGGCAGCTTTGAGGATAAACTCTTCATTTCTAGTAATTTAATTTTTTTGGTTGGTCATGGGGCTTGAACTCTGGGCCTGGGCGCCGTCCTTGAGCTCTTCAACTCAAGGCAAGTGTCTACCACTTGAGCCACAGTGCCACTTCCAGATTTATGGTGGTTTATTAGAGATAAGAGTCTCAAAGACTTTCTGCCCGGGCTGGCTCCTGAGTAGCTCCTGAGTAACTAGGATTGCAGGCATGAGCCACTGGCACCTGGCTTCGTTTCTGGTCATTTCTATAAAGCAGATTCATGGCATAGGGAATACAGCTCAGTGGTAGATCATATTCTTGACACACATGAGCTCCTGGGTTCAATACTCAGTGCCCACCTTACCCCCAATGGTGACATAAAGTAGATTCTACACAGTATTTAATGGCCTGAATTCAATGGCCTGCTTGGAATATTCTGCTTGGTTCATTTCCTTGTCTGGACACAAGCACACAAACCATAATATAAGTGCTGGCCTCAGGTGAAACACAGGCACCTAAAATGGTCAAGAACTCACTGATGGCGTCCTAACCTACCAACCATAAACATGTCCTACTCAGGTCTATCTTGAGCTTCTATTCTTTTTCATTTGATTCAACTTGCACTGACTTGATACAACCTGCACCAAATCAGAGAGTATGGGGCAATGTCAGACTTTCACTGCTGTCACTCCCCCAGCACAGGCCATGCTGGCTGAGCCAGCAGTCAACCAGGGGAGATGAGTAGCTGCCAGAGCATGACTATGTGATAGTGTCTCACCCCCTTCTCCATCATTGTCATGATGACTCTGCCTCCACAAAAGCCAGTTCTGCTGACATTCTGCAAGATAGCTGTGGCGTCTGTTAGTTGCAACCTTCTGTGCTGCTAATGGCCTGCCTGTCTTAAGCCAATCAGAATTCCTTGGCCTAAAACTCCTCTTGCTCTCCTCCAAGACTCACAGGGAGAGTGCTGCTTCAGTCTGCGCCTAGCTGAGATCACAACAGCGTTTTCTTGGCACCCTAAGTCTTATCAGCAGTCAAAAAAAAAAGTCATCCTTGAGGATGAACCTCTCCCTTTTATTTTTCCTCTGGTAATTTCCTAAGACAGATTTTCTTGGGGGTGGTAAGATAGTTCAGTAGTAGAACACCTACTTAGTATGCAGAAGGCCCTGGGTTCAATCCCCAGTGCTCACTCACCCTCTATGATATAAGGCAGATTCTTTATAATACTTAATTCTATGAATGAGAAATGAAATTATCTTTCCCAACCTAATCTACCCAGACACACACACACACACACACACACACACACACACACACACACATCCAAACAGACCACTTGCTACTGGGAGATAAACAAGTACTCCAGCCTCCCAGGAACACAACTTGGCATTTAATCTGCCACAGCTGGTCAGTATGGCTAATACATCAGCTCAATTCCCACCCTAATAAGGCTCACTGGCAAGGTGCAAAAAGTAACAAATTTCCCTCCCTCACTGCTGCTCTTCCAGATGCTCTTCCAACATCTTGGTGTTTCAAAAGTATACACCTGAGATAAACGGCAGGGCTCGGGGTACAGACACAAAGCTTTGAGTTCAAACACCACTATTCACACACACACACACACACACACACACACACACACACACACACCAGACACCTGTCAGATATCTAAATTATTCAATGTTACAAGCTCATAAACTGCCATATAAAATGTTCTCTACTTTCCTCCTCCTAAGAAAAGCAGTGTCATTCTCCAATAGAAAAGTGCCAGAAGTTGGTGGCTGGGGAAGCCAGCCCTGGCCCTGGCCCCAATCATACTTCCTTCCCCTCCACCCAAATACTTAGGTTTGAAATATAAATAATCCAGCCTGCACATGAAGCTCTATGCACATTCACATGCATGCCCACAGACAGCTGACACTTGGCCCTATCTGGAGTGAGAGAGCTTTATCCTTCTCACTCCAGCCAGCCTTGGGGGAAACACACATGGAAAAATGACTTGTGAAGGCCTTAGAGCCAACCTGGAGCTGGACCCTGGTGTCTCACACCTGTAAACCTATCTACCTGAGGACCCTGGTGTCTCACACCTGTAAACCTATCTACCTGAGAACCTGAGACGAGGAGGATCATCATTGGAGGCCAGCCTGCACAGAAAAGTCCACAAGACTCCTTTCCAATCCAAGAGCTAGGCACATGCCTGTTACCCTCATTATGATGGGGAGCCTACAAATAGGTGGATCATGGTTCAAGTGGTTCACCTAAGCAGGAAGTGAGGCCCTATTTCAAACACAGCCAGCAGAAGACAGGGCTAGGTATGATCAGTGGTAAGAAGGTCTCCTGAGCAAGCACCAGTCCCTGAATTCAAATACCAGTATCCCGCTTGGGATACTAGGGAAGGCACTGAGGATCCCAAGCACCAGTACCACACAACTAGAAGGAATGGTGTAGCCCACTAACCATCACACCCATCACAGAGGGGCTCAGGTGGAAGTGCTTTTTTTTAGATCTATGGATGGCAGGGAGGACAATTCTTTTATCATCTCGATTGGCCAGTATCTGTCTCAGCTGTGTGAATACAGACACTTCCTTTCCTCTGCAATCCTAGTGTCCCAACAAGTAGGGAATGCGTCAGCAATTGGCCAAGATGCAATCTTAAATCTTGGCCACCGGTTTTTCTCAAGTCTGTGCCTTCTGGGCCCCAACCTAGCCCGCCGGGTGTTGATCTAATCCCTAGAAGCTTCTGTTATTTCTCAGACTCCTGAAAAACTCACATGCAGCTTGTCATCAATCCAGAAATCCTCCAAGAGGAAAAGGCAATTCAGGCTTTTTTACTGGCCAGTCCCGGGGCTTGAACTCAGGGTCTGGGCACTGTCTCTGAACTTCTCTAGCACTCTACCACTTGAGCCACAGCATCACTTCCAGCTTTTTCTGTTTATATGGTACTGAGGAATCGAACCCAGATCTTCATGCATGCTAGACAAGCATTCTACCACTAAGCCACATTCCCAGCCCTTGGGGATGACTTCTAAAAGCATGTTCAGGTCATCGGGTTTCATAAATGAAAACCTTCGTGTTGGAGACAATACGTATATTTTAGAGTTATCTCCCCTAAGAGATTCTGATGTACTCGTGACTCAGACTTAAAAGAAAAACTTACAGAGGCTGTCAAACTCAGGGAAAAACTTAACAGAGCCAAACTGGACCTCCCCAAAGTAATGCTGAAGTCCTAACCTCCAGTTCCAGTGTAACCTTATTTGGAAATAAGGACATTACAGATGACCAAGTGAAGAGAAGAGCTCATATTGGCCCCAGTCCAATATGACCAATGTTCTTACAAAAAGAGAAATTCTTGGACACACACAGCAGGAGAACAGGAATCTATAAGACAAAGATACATTTTCTGCCTCACAGCTCTCAGAAGAAACTTAACACTGGCTGAGTGCAGTGGTCTACTCTGTAATACCAGTCACTGAATACAGGGATCAGGAGGATGAAAGTTACCAGCCAGTGCTAGCAAAAAGTTAATGATACATTATCAATAGACAAAACTGGGCATGGTAGAGTATACTTGTAATCCCAGATCTTAAGGAGGCAGAGATAGGAGTGTGATCAAGAGCTGGTTCTGGGCACAAACACTAGAGTTTAACTGGAAAAAAAGAAAGAAAGAAAGCTAGAGGTATGGCTCAATTGTCTAACAACCACAAGGCTCTGAACTCAAAATCTCAGTACAAAAAAAGAAAAAAGAAAAAGAAAAAAACAGAGGGAAGGAATCCTTCAAACACTTTGAACTCGTCAACGTCTAGCCTCCTGGCCACAAGACAATATTTTTTTGCTGTTTTAGCCACCAAGTTTGTTAGGGCAGCCCCAAGAAGTTAATGCAAAGGTTAAATAATAAAATTAGTGACAGCTCAGACAAACCCAGGCCTCCTTTTCCCCAGACAGATCATCTCTCCTCTCAGACCAGCTCTCATTCCCCGGGAGCCAACCATCAAGATAGTGACAGCTAGGTTAGGTATCTCCTTACTGTGGAACCATTATCAGAATCAATGTTGGCCATGTCTTCTCGTCTCTGGACAAGTGGTGATTTTCTTCAATGAACTCTGATAGTCACTTCTCAAAACTAGAGTTTGCAGGAATATGTTTAAAAAACAGAATTCCTACTAGCTTAAGGACTAGAGTAGGATGTTAAGAGGCAGGAATGGTCCCAAGGAAGAAAACCCAAGAGTCAAGAGATGATGTAAGCCCCCTTGTGTATCAGATAAGTCCTTTCTCCATCAACGAATGTCACCTCCTCTGAAAAGATGCTCTAAATGGTCCCCACATAGCCTTGGGCCCCTTGGATCTTCTGATCTAGGGGGTAGACAACTGGCAGGAAGCAAGTCTTGCCTGTACTCTCTGCCTCTGGAAGCTGACCCCAATTCATTGTCTAGGAGGCTTTTGTAAATGGCCCTGCAGGAGGATGAAAGCTCTGAGTGGGAGTCATCCTCTCTCTCTGCATTTCCTGCCAACCACTTGATGGGTCACATCTGACCCATCACTGGGCCTGGGACTTAGCAACGCAATCAAGTCATAACTCCCTTCTCAGCCAGCCTCTGCTCCCTGATGTGCCTGTGCTCTTCTGGATCCACTCAAACCCAAGGGTGTTGGACGTTCACTGTTCAGCTTTGAATTTGCATCCAGGAATTAACTTTGACCAGAGTGCCCACATTCCAAGCGTCTGACCGGGCAATGAAAGGTTTCTATGTGCCTACAGGAAATACCAGGCATCAACAAGCAAACAGAAGAAACACTGAAAAGGGATTAGAAGGGCTCAACTAGATTCCTCCACACCACTGAGGCCAGTAGTCAGATCACTCAAGGTCACCAGGCAGCAACCTCCAGCCTCAGGCAGCGGCGCCATTAAGAGAAAGGAACACCACCACCAGTTAACTCCGGGTTACAACCCCTGGCTGGCAAACACCAGGAACCAACCCTGAAAGGCACAGATTCCGTCTGCAAGGTGTACGCGTATATTACAAGGTGCCATCACCAGCAGGGACAAGAGTGGCACCCATACAAATCACAAAACCAAGTGTTGCATGACACTCTATTGCTCCCTGGAAAGGAATAATTCATTCTATTACAGAACTGCTTAACGTTTTACCTTCTCAAGAGGTTTTCCAGGATGAAAAAAAAAAAAAGATAAAATTGTCTTAAAAATGTCTGTCTCCTAAATAAATGTGGAGCCAACAATTAAAGCACACTGAGGTCATCAAATGATTTGTCTGCTGAAAATTCTCCAGGAGGCCCAACAGCTGTCTTTCAAACTGTTTATTTCTGTTCCCGGAGTTTTTCCAGCTCTTAACACCTGGAAGGACACAATGAAGGGCAGGCACTGGGGCATCTAATCGGGAGAGATAAGGGCCCTCAATCCTTTCCCACCACTTCCACCCCTGTCTAATTCTGGCTCCAGCCGGCCAATGTGGCTTCTTAGAGAACAGGGACTTGGTTGTGCTCATTGGCTAACTGCTAGAGCCCATCGGGATCCAAACTAGTCCTCAGCTGGCTGCCCATGCTGCAGTCAGGTCTGGGCACTGGCATGGAGTCCTTAGCTGAGGGTTTTATTTATGGTCTTGTTTGCTGAGCAGGAGACCTGGAGCTCTGGGCCAGGCAGACGGGCTGGGCTGCCTGCTGTTTAAGGCTGTCTTCTTCCTCCTCAGCTCTCAACAAACCCCAAGGCCAAGCCTCCCTTACCCCCAACACAACTTAACTGCTCCTAGAGGCTCCGTTTAACCCAGGAACGACTTCACTCTTCGGGGACTGTCCTCCCTTCCCCCACGCCAGCCTATTTCCAGCAGTCTCTCCACCTGTTCCAAGGCTCTGATTCTTTTTCACTGGTACAGAACCAGCAAAGCTGGTTCAAATTCGCCCTAACCTCCACACCCTCGCGCTTTCAGCTGCGCGGTGGGAGTGGGGGGGGGGCGCGATCCAGTCGCCGCGGGGCGCCACCAGGAACTGGTCCCCCCCCCAAACTCTGCCACCAGCTTGGGCAAGGCTCCTAAACACTCGGAAAGTAAACCCTGAACTTGATTCCTGGGAGGCTCGGGGTCTGTCAGCGCTGCGGGTGCAATTCTGCCGCAGAACCTGACGCTAAAGCAAAGCCACAGTGTGCCAACCCCAAGAGGCACGGCCCCCCACCCCCACCCCCATCCCAAGGATCTGGGGTTGTTTTTCTCCCCCCCTCCCACCCGAGCTCCCCGGGGTCCCGCTGTCCCTCCACGCGCCTCCTCCCAGCTACCCGGTGCCGTCCACCTGCTCCGCTGCTCGGCCATCAAGTTCAGGGGGACGTCCGCCAGCCCAGCCAGCCGGACCCCCACATTTGGACGATGAGGCCCCAGCTGGCCGCCTTGATCTCCAGCCGGCCGGGTCCTGGCCGGGAATCGGCCGGACTTGCCGTTTCTCAGGTAGGGGAGGAGGGGCGCAGCAGCACCCCAGCCTCCGGCACGGGCCCCCCCCCATGCCATCCCCTCCGCCCACCTCCCCTGCAGCAGCGGGCCGACACGCCCAGCCCGAGGACGGCCTCCCACCTCGGCGCGGCTCTTGAGGCTGCTCCGCTTAGGTCGGAGCAGGACATCCTTGAAGTCTAGCTTGAGGTCTGCATCTATGCGGGGCATGGCGCGGGCCGAGCTCGGAAGACGCCTTCCTGCGGCAGAGGAGGCAGGGGCGGCCGGAGCGCGTGCGTGGTTCGGTGCCAGGGAAGCCGCGCGGAGGTCGGAACGACAGCGGGCCTCGTGGGCACGCCGCGCTCTTATGCGAGCCCCACGCCGCGCCCCGCCCACACCCTCGCCGACTGGGTGGCTTCACCCGGGCCTGGCCTCGCCCAGGTCTGTTCTGGCCCAGCCGGACTCGGCTCTGACTCCGCCCCGTCATGCCCTGGCCCCGCCTCACCTTGTTCTCCAGTGGCTCGGTCCTGACTCCGCCCCACCCTGTTCTGGCTCCGCCCTGCTCTTCTGTTGTCCACTCCTAACTCCGCCCCACGCTGTCTTGACCCCGCCCTTATTTAGCATGAGCCCGCCTTTCTCTGCTGACCCCCCCCTAGCCTTTCTGGCCCCGCCCCTTCTTGGTCCTGCGTCACCTGGTCCTGGGAATGCCCAGGGCTAGGGGAGAGAGGGAAGAGGTCAGTAAGCCCAAGTCTGACAGACCTTGGCTGAGTCTCTGCCCATCCCCTTGCTCTTTGAGGTGACCAAAGAGAGGAGGGAGGGGAAGTAGTGACGCACATGGTCTTTCATCAATGACCAAGATCCACTATGGGGCTGTCATAGGGTGGCTACCTTATCCAAAGGAAGGTCATCCTCAGAAGGTTTGACTTTTCCTTTCATTTCAATCCAGCGCACCCCCCAGGCACTGAGGGGACCTTCGCACTGGCCAAAGGAGAAACCTTGGTTGGTTGGATACGATTTAAAGAGAGCTAGGGTGCACTGAGCCTCAGCATTAAAAGCGGGATTATTTAGGCCTTTTTTTTTTTCTTTTTTGGATGCCCTTTGGATTTCAGGTCTGTGTTTGATCATTTACATAAAAACACCATAAGGTCTAAAGATCTTGGGTTGAGGGGAACCTGGATTCTCTCTGTGAGGTGATTTGTAACTTATTTGGACCTCTTAAACACAGGATGTGTTTAAGGCTTTGGCCTGCTCTTTCATCCATTCTCCAGAGTGCTCAGTAGAGGACTCCAGAGCTAAGGAAAACAAGGCTTAGAGAAACCCTGGCCTCAACTCCCAGCATGGCCAAAATAAATAACCTCCCTAAGGCTGCAGAAAAATTAAATATCAGTCTCTAAGTCCTTAAAAGTTACTGTAACTTTTCACTGAAGTAGCTTTGGTCCTTGGGACTCTGACTGCTTAGTATGAAAACTGGACCTGGCAGCTTTCTACCAGGGTGTGACCTTCAGAGAGCCACTCAAATTTCTCTGAAGCAGTTTTCTAATGGACTAAAAGGAAAAGCTATCTTCTCTGAGGTTTTTATGAGAATTACATTGTGTGTGTAATAACCATGTGTGTTCCCTAGTAATTGTTCAACAAATGGTGTAGCTATGTAGGGTTGCAGGTTGCATTGTGTGTCTTAGGTTACTAACCTCACAAAGGTAGGAACCATTTTCCTTTTCTTTCAGTTCTCTAGAGCCTCCAACTATTCTCTGTAACCTTTTACCTTACGTTTGGCTGACCATAGAGACTCAATGAGCATAAAATGCTTTAAAAAAATTCTTAGCTAGTCTTAGTGTTTGAATTCAATGTCTCGGGCTTGCTAGGCAGACACTCTTCCACTTGAGCCTTGTCCCCACCCCACACAAAATGCATTTTCACACAAATGTCTGCAAATGATAAAGCTCCTAACCCATTCTGCTTGCTCTCATTATCTTTACTGCACAGGAAGGTCACATCGTTTCCTGGAAGAAAAGGAAAGTTATCAGACAGAATGAAAATAACAACCATTAGTCAGCCAACAAAATGTGTATAGGCCTTTTCAAATCTTTGGAAGCTGGCCAGATGTGCCACTTATTTGCAATGTAGTGATCTTCAGTTTCCAATTAAAGATAAAAGTAAAATGTAATTACTATATGATAGGGTTATTTAAAAAGTATTCTCCCAAAAGGGAAGAGAAACTCACCTTGTTAAGTATCTGATCACAGTGAATTCCTGAGGTAGACGAGGGCTCTACCTGACTGTTGCACACATTTCCTTAAGAAAATGCTGCCTTCCTTTGTCCTTGCTTACATTACACTCTGGGATGATAGCTCAGTTCTAAGTTTCTTGTCCCTGTTCCTCTCCCCATTTCTATTGGAAGAAGATGGAAGTCCACTTTTCATATTTGATCCCCTCCCCTTCTGGAAGATTCTAGCACTATGGCCTGCTCAGACACAAAACTTACACCCCTTCTAGCATCAGTGTGAATCCTGACTCTTGCATACCCATTCTGTAATGCCTTATATCATGAATGGTCCCCAAACTCGTATGTTGAAGGCTGAGTCCCCAGCCTATGACACTGATGGGAGAGAAGTATGGCCTTAGGACCTCCCTCGAAGGGATTATTGAGACCCTGCCCCTTCCTCCTGTTGGCTTCCCAGCCACCCTGAGGTAAGTACCTTTCTGTAACACATGCTCCCACCACGGTGTGATGAGGTACCACAGGCCCAAAGGCAAGAGGCTCAACTGACCAGGGACTGTTGCTCTTTCACTGTGAGCCAAAAGAAACCTTCCTTCTCTTTAAGGTATCTCAAGTATATTTTTATAGTGATAGGAAGCGACCAGCACTGACTCCTTTACATAGCCTTAGCACCTTGCACATAATTCTGCTTCGTATTGCACTAGTAATAAATAATAAGAGGAATAGCTCCCATTCTACCACTGAGGTGTTTCGCCTGCTCTTGGTGCTTTAGCAAGCTTTCTCCCACCATCCTTCCCTCCCTCCCTCTCTCTTTGATAGCAGAGTTTGAACTCAGGGCCTTGCATTCACTCAACTTTCTTGCTCAGGGCTGATGCCTGTAATCCTAGCTACTCAGGAAGCTGAGATCTGAGGAACACGGTTCAAAGCCAGCCTGGGCAGGAAACTCGGTGAGACTCTTATCTCCAATAAACCACTAGAAAACCAGAGGTGGTGCTGTGGCTCAAGTGGTAGAGTGCAGGGAAATCGCCCAGGCCCAGAGTTCAAGCCCCACGACTGACAAAAAAAAAACTATATAGGGGCTGGGAAGGTGGCTCAGTGGTAGAGCGCTTGCCTTGTGCATGCATGAGGCCCTGGGTTCGATTCCTCAGCACCACATAAGCAAAAAGAAAAAAGCCGGAAGTGGCGCTGTGGCTCCAGTGGTAGAGCACTAGCCTTGAGCTGAAGAGCTGAGGGACAGCGCCCAGGCCCAGAGTTCAAGCCCCACAACCGGACCCAAAAAAAAAAAACTATATAGGAATATATTTCCCAAAATTATCTGAAATAAATCTCACTTGATCACTATGTACATTTTTTTTTAATGGTCCTGGCTCTTGAACTCGGCCTGGGCGCTGTCCTTCAGCTCTTCAGCTCAACGTGAGCTCTCCACCACTTGAGCCACAGCAGCACCACCTCCAGTTTTCTGGTGGATAATTGGAGATCAGAGTTTCATGGACTTTCCTGCCCAGGCTGGCTTTGAACTGTGATCCTCATACCTCAGTCTCCTGAGTAGCTAGGATTACAGGTGTGAGCCACAGGTGCCTGGCTCACTATGTACATGTTTGTATCTAGGGCCTCATTACTACAAGGCAAGTGCTTTACCACTTGAGCCATATCCCCAGACATTTTGTTTCTGAGACAGTCTAGCTAACTTCCCTGACTGACCTTGAACTTGAACTCTTGCTTCCTTCTGCTTCCTGAGTAGCTGGGATTATAGATAGTATATCACCACACCTAGCTCGTTTGTTAATATTTTGTTGAGGATTGTAAAATCTAAGTCTATAAGGGACTTGAATCTGTAGTTTTCTTCTTCTGATGTTTTTGTAGGGAGGTGGCGTGGGGGAGGGGAGGGGGGAAGCGGCGGGGTTCATAAGAATCATCTGGGAATGCTCCTTGCGCCCTGCTCTATTTGCTGAAAGAGCTTAGATAGGATTGGAATTAATTCTTTAAATAGCTGATCGAATTAACCAGTAACCTAAAACTATGAGGAATGAAAAAGTAGCCTATGTTAACAAATAAGTATTTTCTCAAAACCCCAAAATAATTAAAATTGAGTACAAATTAAAAGCTTTGAAAGCCAAGTTCTGGTGGCTTGCACCTATAATCCTAGCTACTCAGGAGGCTGACATCTGAAGATCGTGGTTCAAAGCCAGCCTGGACAGATAAATCCTGGAAACTCCAATTAACCAGCAAAATAGTTGGAACTGGAGGTGCAGCTCAAATGGTAGAGCATGAGCTATGAGTATAACAGCTGAGCAGGAGTGTAAGGTCCTGAGTTCAAACACTAGTACCAGCACACACACACACACACCAAATTTTGAGAAATTTAACGTCATAGTATTTAATAATATGGGAATAGGAATTTGTGCATATTTGATATTTTGTGTACTTGTAATGCTTGTGACCATTTGTTCCATTAGATTAAGAACAATCTAATTTAATTTTGAAATATTCAAAATGAGTATTTGAATAAGTAATTTAAACCTGGGAGGATGAGGTGAAATTCATTAAGTTTATGTCACTCTGGTGCGACATTGAAGAGAATGTCAATGGTACATGCAGAGTTTATGAGAGTTAATAAATGACTGTGGCAAACTGCTCCAGCAAGCTTACTATTTCCTGGTACCTAATAACCACTGGGAAGCTGAAGCAAATGTAAATTCTGTGTCAGCAGCTCTGGGTGGGGCCCCGGTTTGCATTTCTGACAAGGGCTTATGTGAGTCTGGATCTAAAAACCACAAAAGTTGAGGGACTGGCTTTAAAAGGGAATCTATTCCATTGTGGTATCTATTCCTTTTAAAAAATAGTCAGAAGTGAGCCAGGCCTGTAATCCAAGCTATTCAGGAGGTTGAAATCTAAGGATGGAGATTTGAAGCTATCCTGGAGAGAAAAGTTCCCAAGACCCTTATTTCCAAAGAACCATCAAAAAGGTGGAAGTGGAGATGTGGCTCAAGTGGTAGAGTCCAACCTTGACTGGAGAAAACTAAGTGAGAGCTTAAGGCTCTGAGTTCAAGTTCCATTACCATCATCAAAAAGAAAAAATATTTAAGTTTGTAAATCAAAAGTT